AGGTAAGTTCACGATCACATGCTACATATCCATTTGATCAGCTGAACGGAAAAAGAAGTTATGTGAATATTTAGAAAGAAACCTAGGCAGAGAGACAGCAAGTACAAAGATTCTGAGGCTCCAACTTGCCTGACATACTCAAGACCCAATAATATCTAGCTTCTGTAATATGCAAAGAAATGCACAACAACTAAGTACCAGTTAGAAGAATTTAACTTTGTAACAAATTGAGTATCTCAAATTTTTGGTGTCCTGTCTGATTTGCAGTAAAGCAAATTGGAATAGAGCAACACTGTCTTTCCAAGACTAAGTAGGATTTTAAATTTTTTTGTTGTTTTTGTTTTTTAGTTGTGGGGGCTGAACTCTGGGCTTGGGCGCTGTCCCTCAGCTTTTCAGCTCAAGGCTAGTGCCCTATCACTTGAGCCACAGCGCCACTTCCGGCTTTTTCTGCATATGTGGTACTGAGGAATTGAACCAAGGGCCTCATGCATGCGAGGCAAGCACTCTACCACTGAGCCAACTTCCCAGCCCGGATTTTAGATTTTGTGTTAATTTTTCAGAGTGATAATGTCACATTCCACTGCTGAGATTATGCATTAGTCTTTCTTTTTTCCTTTACCATTCCAATTACACAGCTGTTCAAAAATAAGTACACATATATTTCAATATAAATCCTTATAAGCATAAAGCAAAAACTAAGTGTCACTATGTATTTTAAAAAACTATATGAAATAAAGATTAAATGTATGTTGAATTGGCTCAGAGTAAACTAAGGAAATGTGACTCGTGAAGGATAAAAAAGAAATAAAACCTAGTTCTTACAAATGTCAGAAATAAACAATCTTTTGTATGGTCAAGAAAAAAAAGACTAACTCATTTCTAATGGCAAAAACTGGACTAGACCCATGGGAGGAGGCTGGAAGTAGTATAAATTCAGACTGCTTCATTTGTGCTATGATTATTGAAATTATGAAGCACTAATCAAAAATAGAATACACATCCAATTAGAATATTTTAATAAAATAAACTACTAACTGGACCATAAAGTTTCAATAAATTTAAAAAGATTCAAAACATACAAGGTATGTTCTTTCTTATGACAGATTTAAGAAAGGAGTAACTCATGGCATGAAGAATTGGGACGTTGGGCTGGGAAAGTGGCTCAGTGGTAGAGCGCTTGCCTTGCATGCTCAAAGCCCTGGGTTCGATTCCTCAGCACCACATAAGCAAAAAGAAAAAAGCCGGAAGCGGCGATGTGGCTCAAGTGGTAGAGTGCTAGCCTTGAGCTGAAGAGCTGAGGGACAGAGCCCAGGCCCAGAGTTCAGGTCCCACGACCGGACAAAAAAATAAATAAAATAATAAAAAAAAAAAGAATTGGGACGTTATTAAAACAATACTTAGGGGGAAACTTACAGTTCTATATGTCTTCATGAGAAGATGAAAAGTTTTCAATCAATGACCTTAAGCTTTCACCATAAGTAGATAAAAGGAAATTAAAAGATTAAGTGGAAATCAATAAAATATAAACCAACAACAGGGAAAAATCAATAAAACACTGAGAGAAACAATAAAATTGATAAGCCTCAGAATGATGTGGGTGAGAGGAGAAAGAAGGGAGAAAGAGGGGCTGGGAAGGTGGCTCAGTGGTAGAGCGCTTGCCTTGCATGCATGAGGCCCTGGGTTCAATTCCTCAGCACCACATAAGCAAAAAGAAAAAAGCTGGAAGTGCCACTGTGGTTCAAGTGGTAGAGCACTAGCCTTGAGCTGAAGAGCTGAGGGACAGTGCCCAGGCCCAGGCCCAGAGGTCAGGCCCCATGACCAGATCCAAAAAATAAGAAGGGAGAAAGAAGCTACAAATTACAATCATCAGAAACAAGAGAGGTGGAATTAGTATAAATTCCATAGATTACACATATTAAAGTGTTGTAGACAACTTTGCACCTTCAAATATCACAACATAAATTAACACATTCCCTTTTTGTTCGCTAAAACTCAGTACCTGACACGTTTGTTCATTGGCTAGCCTCTATCAAATGAACCACTCCTCCAAACCCTGAACATACTCCCTCGAGGACACAAATGATCAAGCTTGTCCGAAAGGAAAGTGATGCATTGAAACCCTTTGTACAGCTACTTAAAGTAATAAGGAAAAGATTTTAAAAAGAGGAAGAGGTAGACTAAATGGTCTTATTATCAGAAACTGGAATTTAAAAACATTCCTACAAAGAAAAATCCTGACCCAGATATCTTCACTGGATGCTAAATTCATAGAAGCTGTTGTTAAAAATGAGGAACATTTCCAATTTACATATGGCTAACATTACTACGAAATAAAAACTAGACAGTTTTTATTATATATTAATATATCATCTATTCCAAATAAGAAAGCCTGATTTTGAAACTTCTAACCAGAATGTATCTTTTTTCATCACTTGTCCTGATAACAACTTGTCTTATCCTTATTATCTAAGCTTTGAGTTTAAGAATACAATATAAAGCTGTATTTTCCTGGTTTCTTTGTTGGATTGTAATCTTTCTAGAACTTCTATTCTCTTCTCTCTTGTGGCTTTCCCCCCCCAGGTTGTGGGACTTGAACTCTGGGCCTGGGTGCTATCCCTCAGTTCTTCAGCTCTAGGCTAGCGCTCTACCACTTGAGCCATAGTGCCACTTCCAATTTTCTGGTAGTTTACTGGAGCTAAGTCTCACAGACTTTCCTACCCGGCTGGCTCTCAGCCTCCTGAGTAGCTAGGATTACAGGCATGAGCCACTGGCTCCCAGGTTCTCTTATGGCTTTTTAACTTTTCAGTCTCATTGTTTCTCTACTTTATCCCTACAGATCTGTTAGTCATTGTGTTTACTATATTGCACAGCATTATCCAATAAATTTGATTTAGCAAACATTTTGAATAATTCACTTTCTGTTTCCTTTGTATTATGTTTCACAGACAAAGCACATATCCTTTCAATGATTTTTGTTTCCTTCCAAGAAAAAGATCACTCTCTTCTCTGTTCATCATGGCCATGTCAATATATTTTAAGTACAAAAAAAAGCAGGAAATCATTATGTTTGGTGCCTACTATCTTGAACCATAAATCTGACCCCTTTATACGGGAAGTTTGTTACAATACTCACTGTAGGTACCAGAACAATTTTGCCTTTAAGAGAAGTATCCAGTTAAGTAAACCACATTATTCAACCTGCTACCATAATAAATACTAGCATGATAGAAAAACCACAGGCCAGGCAGGAAGACACAAGTTCAACAGTAATTATAATCTTATCTAAGTGTCTACTTGCTTTTCTGTAACCGTTGCCTCATATACCTAATACACCTTTACAATCTTATTAAAACTTCCCTAAACAATTGCTATTGTTTGAATACTAGTAGCTAATCTAAACTCTCCATTTAAAAAAAAACACTAAAACTAAAACTGCCAGGATGCCAGGAGTAATGACATATACCATGTAATCCAACACTGTGAAAGCAAAGGCAGGAGGATCCCGAGTTCAAGGCCAGGTAGTCAACACAGTGAGTTCCTGGCCAGTCTGGCTATACAGTCAGACTTTGTCTCAAAAACAAAACAAAAAAATCTTTCAAAACAAACAAAAAATCCCCAAAGAGCTAACAAGATAATGGCTAAATATTATTCCAGAAACATAAACCAGCTGAGAAACTAGAAACAAGCAAAACACTATAGGGAATGTTGTCCTGAGAGACCTTCCTTACCAAAAGATTCCACTGAGAATGTTATGCATCTGGTCGATACCTGTAAAACCCAGCTGCTTTAGAAGGTGAAGGTCTGGAGGATCATGGGGTTTGCGATCAAACTTGGGAAAAACTTAGCAAGATCCATCTTGGTGTCTGCCTATAATCCCAGCTCAAGGGAAGTATAGGTAAGAGGATCACAGTTGTAGACTGGCTATAGACAAAGAGTCACAATACCCTATCTAAAAATAGACTGCAAAAATTAGTGGATCCAGTGGCAGAGCACCTGCCTTATAAACACAAGACCCTGAGTTCAAACTCCAGTACCACCAAAAAGAGAATAAAAAACTAAAGCCTACAAAAAGCTGTTCACTTACTATTAAGAATTGACTAGAAGTAAAATATTCCTCTAAGTAATCTTCAACAATCATTTGCATCATACCAAAGGGACCAGAAAAATCTCAAGCATCAAACATGAATTGATTAACATAGTCCCCTCCCCCTCAGTACTTGATATAAGCAAACAAACATTCTTTTGGAGAAAGATGGTATCACAGGCCTCAAATGATTTAGGAATAGCATCTCTGAAATACTTGTTGCTGAAATTATGTGAGTTAAATACAGATGCAATTTCCTAAGCATGCACTATCAAGACTCTTAGACTGATATGTAAAAAGCGGACAAAATTTTTTTATACAGAATGCTTCACAAATTTGTGTGTCATCCTTGCACAGGGAAAGGCCATGCTAATTTTCTTCATATCGTTCCAATTTTAGTATACGTGCTGCTAAAGTGAGCATCAGAATTTAATTCCATTTTGTTTGCATAAATTTATAGACAACTGGAAAATGTATCTTCTGTATAAATGTAAACCATATCGGTTGATTCACCTTTTGTAGTTTGGCAAAGTCTTCATGTTTTAAAAACTAAACAGCAATGGTTTTTCAGTGTGGCCTACTTCAGATAAAAAGGAACCACCAGCAACAAAACAGCATGTTGACACTTTGAAGTAAGCAAAACAGAAAAACACGCCACTCTACAATAAGATTATGTACATACAATTCAACATTTTATCTTCTATATAATCACCAACTGAATTTATTTCCCAACTCTTTTATCTTCTTTGCCAAAAAATGGAAGTGATTTGAAATTACTATCCTAATAGTTTTACTTACACCTTTGATAACTTCTGAATTTATTCACCTCTAATTTTTATTACCAGAATGGATCCAACAGAATGCTTTTAACATACAAGTAGCTATAACTATCAATATCTTCTTTCTCCCCTCATACCTATAGTATCTGGGAGGTCTAGGAGTTCATTGTGCTGCAAGTCAAGGTTGGTTATCTGTGTACAGTTTCCAATCTCCTTTGGAAGGTGTTCAAGTTGATTGTGAGCTACATCCAGCGTAATGAGGTTACATAATTCACCTGCAAATTGACCAACATAATAATTTAATAAGCATTATTTAAGAAAATATTAATACTTTGAGCAAGAAAATAAATTTTACAATTTCTAAATGTAACTGAAAGCATCATCTCATTTATATATGCACCTTTCATTTAAAAATAGCAATTTTCTAATGACCATAACTTACAATGTAAGAAGACAAAAAGCTTCTTTTTTCTCTATCATGACAACATTCTTTCTGGAGAAATCATACAAAAAATCTGGAACTGTTATTTCAAAATGACATTAGATAAAATTAAAATAGGTTTTAAAAGGTTATTTTTAAGTATTACTTTGTTGTTGAGAGATTTTGAGAGTTTTTGTTTGTTTTGGTCACAGGGAGGGAAACGCACATGCTAAGCACACACTGTACCTACTATGTTTTCTTGAGGCAATGAGGATTAAACTCAAGTTGTCTCCAACTTTTAGTATGTTTTCAGATAGTCCCCGGCTAACTGTCCAGGCTGGTCATGAACTGCAATTCTATTTCTGCCTCCTGAATAAGTGGCTTACACCATGTACCACCATGTCTGACTAGATTCTTTCTATGCAATAAATATCTTGGGTTTAATCAGAGAGATATTTTCAATTTCAAAACACATATGCTTTCAAATAGGCATATGTTCTAACATAAATATGTAAATTGACATTTATAAATAACACAGTTTTCAATTTAATAGCATTTAAAAGGACATAAAATGAATTACGTTTATGATTGAAAGAGCTGTACAGACAATTTAGATTTCTCTCGGTGTAATCCCAGCTACTCAGGAGGCAGTGGGAGTAAGATCAGTGCCTGAGGACTACTTAGACAAATACATTTCTACTTATCTGAGAAACAAACTAAAGCAAATAGAACTGACGACATGCTCAAGCACTTGCCCAGCAAGCACAAGGCCCTGAATTGAAACCGCAATACTACCATAAAAATAACAATACATCTTTTCATTTATAAGACCTTTATTGATTAATGATTTTTCTATTTTTTTAGGGCAGAGGTTTGAAATACTGAAAAAATTAAGACAAACAAGCTTCACACAACTCAAAAATAAATGTGGGGCATGTTCATTGCTAAACTACGTATTATAAACATAATAACAATAGAGAAGATGGGTAAGTTGGAATTTACCAAAATACAACACTTTTGTGCAAAGTATACTACTATCAAGACAGTGAAAAGGCAATTCACAGGACGGAAGAAAGTATTTATAAATCGTTTGTCTTATGAGGAACCAATATGCAGAGTATCTCACAAAAAAACAACTGAAAAAGAAACTTAAAAGCCAGGCATAGTTGTGTGTACCTGTAATCCATCACAAGGGAGGCTGGGTAGGTCAGCAAGTAGGTCACCATGAGATAAAACTGAAACCATGATTCAAAAATAAGTCCTCCCTTAGGACTTTTTATACGTAGATATGTAACTAGCCAGTAAGCATGAAAAGGTTCTAAACCATTCTAATCAAAAGAAAAATGTAAGTCAAAACAGTGAGGTGCCACTTTATACCCATTAGGGTGGCTTTTAGCAAAAATTAGGGATGGTCCCGGAGCATAGCTGAGCATGAAGAAGGGAGGGATATGAGACAACCTAAAAGCCAATCTTCAGTGAAATTTGTAACACTAAAATCTATAGTCTCCAATAATCACTAAGACCTCATCTCAAAAGGAAAAAAAGCCGACGCAAGGAGAAGAAAATTAATAAAAATAAGGGAATAAAGCAGTAAAGTTGAAAACAGACAATATTTCATTCAAATAAAAGCTAGCTCTTTGGGGAAAATCCAATATTGATAACCCGCTAGCAAGACTTGGAAAGATGATTTTTTTTAAAAAAAGGGAAGGCATACAAATATTAACAATGAAGCATGACTACAGATATCATAGTTTGTTGTTTGATGGGTCTCACACTGCAGCCCAAGAGCCCTTCAAACTTGCTTTTTAGCCCAAGTACTTCAGAACCAAGGCACAGTGCTAATCCCAGCTACTTAAGGGATGCTGGACATGGTAGTCTGCACTTACTATTTCCAGCAACAAACAGAAGCACAATTAGGAGGATTATAGCCCAAGCCAACTCCAGAATAAAAATCTAACCTCCTAACAAAAGCAAAAAGGGGCTAGAAGCATGGCTCAAGTAGTACAACCCTTGCCTTGCAAGCAAGCAGCTCAAGGAGCTGAGTTTAATCCTCAGTACCACACACACACACAAAAAAAAAAGTGCTTCAGGAAGAAGGAAAATGAAATACACAGAAACTGAGATCTACATGAAGGAAAGAGAAGAGCAGAGAAAGTGATTCTTTTATTTTCTTACCCTTACTTAATCTAAGAATATAACAGTTGGATCAAAGTTTTAATAGCAATAATATATTGGGTAATTATAGCTTAAGGCCACGGTAAAAGATGGATTCTCAGGCTGGACAAAAAAATACCACTTTAAATGTAAATACAAGTAGATCAAAGTAAAATAATGAAGAAATACAATGCTACCACTAATCAAAAGAAAGCTGGATGGTTATGTTAGTGTCAGACATGGGTTGTGGCTCAAATAGTAGAGGGTTGCCTAGCGAGATGAGGCCCTGAGTTCAAATACTAGTTCCACTACTACCAATAATAATAATACCTCAAAAAAAATAAAACATAAAAGCAGAAAGGAAAATTATCAGGTACCTACAGAGTATGACATAACAATTCTTTCAGATATATAATCCTTAGAAAATGTATGTGCTAGCTATCGCTCCCACTGTAGTACTTACCACAAAACCAAGTTAATTCAACTGAGGAAACTGATGATGTTAAAATTTTTGTTAACAAAAATTAACTGAATAAATGTAATATTACAACAGGAATATAATGTGCTTTGATCAAATTTAACTTACTCTTTCTTAGTCTCTGTCATTTCCGCTCCAGAGGAAGACTGTATTGCAATTGTTTTCATGTCAGAATAAAAACTTTTTGTATTTGTCACTACCCTTTCTAATAAATGCTTATTGTTTCCATTTTCATTAAAGTAACTCCAGCTGATGTAAAGGAAGTTGAATCTATGCATCACTGAATAGACTAGTCAATTAAATAACCCAAGTTAAATGAAGACGATCAATCACAGGAGCAGCTATATTTCAATATAGGTCAATAATTATTACTTTGAAGTGCTTCTCAATTCAGTACTATGACATTTTGGACTAGGTAATTCTGTTTGTGAGAAGTTATTCTGTGTATCATCAGCAACCCTGGGTTTTACCTACTACAGGCCTAAGACCATCTTCCAAGTCATGATAATCAAAACTATCTTCAGATCTTGTCCAAATGCCTTTTGTTGTCAAACCTGCTCCTGGTTAGAAAGCGCTGCTATGTTGAAACCCAAGTTTAATATTTGTGCTATTCTCACATTTATTTCAAGAAAGCTAGAAACCTACACTGCCATGTAAATCGTGTTCTTAAATGCCAATTACTATGTAGTAGGTTAATATAGAACAAAACATTTTGTTACCAAGTATCTGTAGGGTTTTTTGAGCAATCAGGACATTAATTTGACACCTTTGCAAACAGAAATGTACTGTCACTATTTTAAGACATAAATTTACCTATTATATTAAAACGAAAAAGTATTTTAAAAAGCAATAATAACCCAAATTCAAGAAACGTTGACTAGCACATTCTTTTTGATTTAGGCAAACATCACATTATAAATAACTGTTAGGGTAGTTAATAGTATTACATACTGTTAATAGTGACACATTAAGCAGAATGTCACCTACGAGCACTTACACCTCTCCTTAACATCTAGTAATTCCAAAAGGTTTTAAAAATGCTTACAACCAAGGAAATGTGAAGTTGAATAGCTCATTACACAAAACTTTGATCTGTAAGTCTATAGAATACATCCAACTTACAACTAAATTATATACCAATTAAGTTAAAAAATTGTAAAAAAAAAAATTTTAGAGACTCTCCAACAACCAAAGGAAAATTATGAAGCTCACAAAGAATATTATCTCTTAAAAATCTGAATTTTCTTCAGTCCAACAAAGAAATTAGTAAGCTCAGAAATTTACCATTAAGTTTATCATTTAGTTTTCCTAAAACTTTTAAATATTTTAAAATTAATTTAAAATTTCTTGCTTAATGAAACTTTCAAAATGATTTTAGTGGGTAAAAAAGGAATTTTAAATACCTTAAAACAACATTAATAATTACCTAAACTTTCCTTGCTTATACTCAAATATTTGAATTTTTGTAATTTAAATTTTAAGAGCCTATGTTATTTACAAGGAACAAGATAGCAATGTTTAAGCAATAAATGAAATATATCATTTACTATTCTCTGTGTAGGTATTTTTATCACAGAAGATCCAGATATCAGAAAAAGGCAAACTGCTTAAACCCATCTGGAATAGTTTTAAAGGATAATGAGCAAGGTATTAACAGTGACTTATCTCCAATTTGGTATGAGTTCTATTTTCTTCTTTGTATACTTATATTCTGTGATTTTGTTTTGGTATTTTTTTGTTTTGTTTTGTTTTTAACATTTTTAATCCCAAAAAGGGAAAGAAGATTCAAGAGGTAAACACTAGCTGTGTTGTCCACATCATACATGGAAAAAGTGTTTTCTAAACTACAAATAGCAATTTCCTATCTAAGAGGCAGATACATCTTGGTGAAAGTGAATATATCAAGCTATCATGTTGATATTGGTCATTAGTAAGTATTAAGTATTCTGATTCATATTCCATGCTTATTAGACAATATTTTTATTTTAAATCTGGCTTCCCATATAGATTTGCCAAAGAGAGAACAAGAATATAATAAGAATATATTATGAATATTCATTCATTCACCCATTACACAATGTTCATTAAAGCACCTACTAAAATTCTAGGTGCTAGGGATACAACAGAGAAAAAAAGGGGCAAAATTCTTGCCTTCATAGAACTTGTATTTTCAGGGGGGAAAAAAAAGTAATACTTAATCAAGGGCAAGAAGTATTAAGGAC